TGCCTATATCATACTTGAGTTAGATGATGCTACCAAGCATATCATCCCATAGGTAAGGTAGAAGGTTAAGGCTTGAAGAATGAGGAAGTGATGGTAATGTTAGGTACATTAACGGTTATTATCGAACTACTACAGGATTGTACACGTTGTGACGATGGTACTACCTCTATTAGGAAGGTAATGAGTTCTCCATTTAGGGGGTATCCGTGTTACTAGCGTTATACAGGTAATAATATGACTTGCGATTGCTATGTATGGGATCACTAGCATGATGATGATGATGATGATGATGATGATTGTGTTAATAGCAGTAGTTTTACTCTCTCAACAAGACATAATGGTATAAGGATTATTGAGGTGATTACTACTACTACTATCATTCATAATCAGAGCCTTTAACCGTATGAGGAGAGTTACCCTTACTGCAGTATCCCTATGTTTCATGTTATATACATGTATTGGTATAGGTGAATATCTAATATGGGGTCCTCATACACAACCATCATTGATGCTTCATCTAAAGTACTACTACTACTACTATCATTATTGTTATTATCGTCAAAGTTAGAGATGATTTTATATCGGGTAATGTAGTGGTGATGGTAGTATACATCTCTATGTGTTTGGCAGTGGTGTTATCTTTTCCTGGTAATATATTACCTATCAAATTCACTGTAGAAGAAATGTTATGGTGATATATGACAATCCTAACCATCTTAATATTACTATCCAGAGATGAGTGATAATACCCGTACAGTTATCCCAATGTTCCGATCGTTGTAGTCATCGACCAGGTTATTGATACCCTTTAGATCCTCGTTATTCTACTCATACTAATAGCATCATATTAACAAGCTGAAGCACCGGTATCACATGTTATAAGAGAAATGATCATACTTCAGACCAACAATGATATTATTATCAAGACCATGCCGCCCTCCGGGCATGCGACCCATATACCGTACTCGACCGCACTAACGACATATACAACAACAACATTAAGATTATCACGTGAAGGGACAGACATTCCTCATAATAATCATTAGTTGTAGGGGTTGGGTTACGAAGTATTAATGAATAAGGCCGCCGTACTGGCAACAAGGATTCATCAGAGTAGCTTATTTTAGCTATATTCAGAGAACTGGGTTTAGTAGTAGTATCAGTCATTTGATCAGAATCTAAAAGTAGGCTATTCATAAGACCGTTGTGTTGTTACTCATCATCAAGCCTTACTTACTATCCTCATTACTACTATTTCGACAGCTCATGAGTGTTAGGGCGAGCGCTACTATCACAATTGATCGATTAGATGATCGATAGCCCTCTGAAGGAGTGTGATTGCACCCCCTATCCAAGATGGCAACTGCAGCGAGTCAAAAGCAGGTCTCCAAGAAGCGTAAGTTCGTCGCCGATGGCGTGTTCTATGCGGAGCTTAATGAACTTCTCACTACTATCCTTGCTGAAGATGGTTACTCTGGTGTCGAGGTCCGTGTGACTCCTATCAAGACTGAGATTATCATCCGTGCTACTAGAACTCGTGAGGTCCTTGGTGAGAAGGGTCGTAGGATTAGAGAGCTCACTGCTCTTGTTGAGAGACGTTTCGATTTCCCTGAGAACTCCGTCGAGCTCTTTGCTGAGCGTGTCGATAATCGTGCTCTCTGTGCCCAGGCTCAAGCTGAATCACTTCGTTACAAGCTATTGGGTGGTCTTCCTGTTCGTAGGGCTGCTTATGGTGTATTAAGGTTTGTTATGGAGAATGGTGCTAAGGGTGTTGAGGTTACTGTATCTGGTAAACTACGTGCCCAACGTGCTAAGGTTATGAAGTTTGCTGATGGTTATCTCCTATCTACTGGTACTCCTAAGGAGATGTATGTTGATCAAGCTATTCGTAATGTCGATATGCGTCAGGGTATTCTT